TACTTCAAAAGCTCTACTCGTTTCGAACCAGTCTACAGGCGTAGGCTGCGCGACATCGCCGCGACCGCGCACGCTGCTCATGAGGAAGAACCCCTCTGTGGTTCGAAACTAGTAGATAGCTTGTCTCAGTATATATATATATATTTCTTTTTAAAACGTTGCCCCACATTAGGATTTTCTCCTGTGTCGTGGTTGCGTTTACAAACATAGGTACAAGTTCACATACACAATGACACCCAGACCCGAAACAACAATTTGTGGATCACACAAAGTGTTGTTCCGTGCGGGAATCGAACCCGCGACACATTGCACGGCACCAACCGTGCCCACCGTCCAAATATTCACATGAGTAACCCGCGATTTTAGTTAATTTAGTATATCTCACGATAGTTATTATAATAACATATAGGTTACTTTTTATTCTACGGAAAATTGGACGAAGCCACTAGCAGAATCTAGTTGCCAATAAAAATCCGTGTGGTGAATTCATTTTGTCAGTTGAGCAGATAACCTATTTGACGTCAATCTCCTTCGTATACAAGAAGTCTCATTGTCTCACTAACACAGTGAAGTATAGCGTTGTTTTTTTATGGCATAAGCCGGTAAACGAGCAGACGGATCACCTGATGGTAAGCAATCGGAGTCGCCCATGGACAGTTGAAACACTAGAGGCGTTGCAAGTACTTACCACCAGGCGAGATAGTGGTCAAACATCAGACCCATGTAATATATATATGTCGCAGAATCAACAAAGATGCACAGCTATCGAGTATCGTTATTTTAGAACAACGCCATCTGTTATCATTTGTCGGAAACGTCAAGCAGTGTGCTTGGGTGATGGTCGGTACGGGGCGTGGCATGTTGGCATTTGAAAGGCGTCACTTTTGAGTTGGACACGAGGGTGAGCGGTTGTTCTGCCAGCCCGTAACGAAATTACCGCGTTTACGAAGAATGCGATGACGAAGTACCCCCAATGGGTGCATTTTCTCCGACATATATATAAAAAAATTGCGTTACTGGCCTTTCGGGGATTAGGTACTTAAGGATTGTTGGGGATTCAGAGATTGGGGAGACTGAGGAGGAGGGTAATTGTGCCTCCAGTAAATGACGAAACACAACTCAAGTATTGTGTCACGTCAGTTTTCTGTGAAGCCGTGGTATCACTCGTGTCGAGGCTCTCCCACACTTAATTTGAGTATTTTCATTACGTAAACATATTCATTAAATTAGACTATCTGTGTGCAGTGTAGCAGAGTAGAAAACATGTGTCACCAGCTCCACTCTTCTCGCAGATTTTGACTGCACTGTTGGCGCGGTGATTCCCGCACGGAACAACTCTTTGTGTAATCCACAGATTGTTGTTCCTGGTCTGGGTGTCATGTGTATGTGAACTTGTATGTTCGTAAACGGACACACGACACAGGGGAAAACCCTAGACTGGGGCAACGTTCCAAAAAAAATATGTTAAGCTATCTAAAAAAAATATACTAAAAATTTATCCGATTTTATCGATACTCGATATAACAAACACGTGTCGCGTCACTAGTGCGGCCACAACATCCCACGTCCTCTCTCTACATAATTAACACACGTCTTCGTATTTAATAGATTTAATTGTTAGGGGGTAGGCAGAGATCTATAAAAAGAACTAATTCATTGAACTTATACTGGCTTGTGCCAGCGGTTTTACTCGAGTTACTGGGATATAATTTTGGTGATCCGACAGAGAACCAAAGTTATCGACATAGCCCAAAGAATCAGTAAGCTAAAGTGGCAGTGGACCGGTCACATTTGTCGAAGAACCGATAACCGTTGGAGTAAAAGTGTTCTAGAGTGGAGACCGCGTCTAGGCAAACGCAGTGTAGGGCGCCCTCCGCTTGGTGGAGTGACGACATCCGCAAGGTGGCTGGCGTGCCATAGGAAAGGCCTATGTCCAGCAGTAGACGAATACAGGCTTGTGATGACGATGATGAATTTTGGTGACCATTTGTAGTCCTTGACCCTTCAAGTAGACCGACTTCAAAAAAAGAGGAGCATCTCAGTTCGACCTGTATCTATGTTTTTGTGGGATTGTCTTAGGAATGGCTGAACTAATTTTGATGGTAAACTACGTTTATGAAACCGACTTTAAACTGTCAAACACCAAGCGGTCACCGGTGACCGCAACCTATTGTTCTATAATTGTGTCTACAAAACCGGTACTCGACGAGTTAATCCTCTCTATTTTTGAAGTCTCTAAGTTTGAAGTAAAACCAGGGACGTAGCTAGCGCCGTATCTGCCGTATCAATTATATGGGGGCCCCGTGGCCCGGGGCCCCAATGTGTGTAAGCAATAATATAAAAACTTTGCAATTTATATTTTTTTATTTTAGTAATCACAAAATACATGCGTTTAAAGGTTGGCAGAAACCATGGAATAGAGGAATCTATTCCTTGGCAGAAATTTTGGAAAAACAAAAGTACCTAATCATTGTCCGATAGTTTGAGCAGAGGAGGTACCTATTTTATGTAAAATAAAATTCTTCAAAGAAATTTTTACCTTTCATAAGGGCCCCCAAACAAATTTTCGAGCTGCGCTACGCCACTGAGTAAAATCTACCCGTAAGTGTAACAACAATTTTCTGAAAACCGCATCAAAATCGGTTCAGCCAATCGCGTGACAATCGATAGGTACATATAGATATAAAGAACCTCCTTCTTGTTTTGAAGTCGGTAATAATACCTACAAAAAACTATAATAATAAAAAAAAACGATTAACTACCTCATTGGCCGAGTGGTCGCAAGTGCGACAGCCGGGCAAGGGGTCTCGGGTTCGATTCCCGGGTCGGGCAAAGTATTACTGGGATTTGTAAAAACGTCAGTAGTAGCACGGAGTCTGGAATTGTGCCCGGTATATGGCAATAGGCTCACCGCCTATTACAAGAGACTCATAATATAAATAGTGAAAAGTGGGTGTTACATTGTACAGTGGCTTTAAGTGCCGTAATGTGCACCTCTGTCTACTCCTTCGGGGGTAAAATGTTAAAAAACGATAATTTTATGCAAGCAAAGTCGCGTACAATATGCTAGTATACTGTAAAATAATCCTGTCTGTTATGTTTATTGCAAAATATGCAAATATCCTTAATATTTACAGCGCATATTGTAAGTGCCTTAAAATTTATACAAGCAAGCGCTGTATCATAATGGGTATAGGGTGGCTATGTGTTCGTAATATAACGGGATAAGTCTCGTTGGTAAATTGTCGTATATTGAAGAGCAATTTTATTTTCTTTATCCAATTTTAGTTATGTATATGTACTTTAGTTTTTATTTAACTCAGCCCTTGTTATTTAGTTTATATAACATGACATAACATCACGCCTATTATACCCGAAAAGGTAAGCAGAGGTGTACATCGGTGAAGAAAAACATCGTAAGGAAACTTGGACTTATAATTTCTAATTATAAGTTTGTAATCACCAACCCGGATTAAGCAAGCATGGTTACTAATGCTCAACCCTCTCTGTGTGAAAAGAGGCTTTGCTCAGCAGTGGGCACATAATATGTGATGTGAAATAAAACCGGTTAAAAAAATTCTCCCAAGCAGGACTGTCCTGTCCTCTCTAAACTCATACCCACCTCACTCGAGGGGTAGGCTTATTCCGGTAGCTGTGTTTCAATAACGATTACCATCCTGCTATATAATTCAGAGGTGCAGGGTACAGGATACAGGATACAGACAGTTTTAACTAGACACGAGGTGGCGTTAAGGTTGTGGTGCTGTGAGCCCAATCATGTGTAATTTAGATATTAATTGGAACGAGGGTGAAGTCGCCAGCAGAGGAGAAAAAAAGGAAGTTAATTATTATGTTTTCGGTTTACGCACGTCGCTGTTTGACGATGAACTCGACTAGTTTTTCAAGTCATGCTGGAGGCTCATATTCATGAGCAGCATTTGAGCAACCTCATCAAACAGTTACGTGAGTAAGCTGAAAATATAATAATTAATAAAGAATGTGGAACAGCTTGTCCACTGCTTCACTGTGGTTAAGGTTACCTTATTTGCGAGTCTGGTGGCTTCAAATGTAGCATTCTCCTCGCTGTCTATATAGCTTTTTTTATGGCATAAGCCGGTAAACAAGCAGACGGCTCACCTGGATGGTAAGCAATTGGCGTCGCCCGTGGACACCTGAAACCAGAGGCGTTACAAGTGTCTTACCGGCTTTTTGGGAATAGAAAATTTGAGGATTGTGCAGACATTGGGCCTCCAATAACCTTACCCACACGACGAAACACAACGCAAGCCTTTTTTCACGTCGGTTTCTGTGAGGCCGTGGTATAGCTGCGGTCGAACCTGCCCGTTTCTGCGCAATCATGGCTCTCCCACACTTAAAATAACTACTAAAATGTAATAATTTAATGAAACAATAATATTGATTTGAATGCATGAGATATTGTGGTAGACATAACATAAAATCACGCCTTTTATACCCGAAGGGGTAGGCAGAGGTGCACATTATGCCATTGTACAATGTAACACCCACTTTTCACTATTTATGTTATGAGTCCCATGTAATAGGGGGTGAGCCTATTGCCATATACCGGGCACATTTCCAGACTCCGTGCTACTACTGAGGATTTTTTAAAAACCTAGTAATACTTTGCCCGACCCGGGAATCGAACCCGAGACCCCTTGCCCGGCAGTCGCACTTGCGACCACTCGGCCAACGAGGCAGTCTATATTACAGACGATATTGAGGTAGAATAAAGGCTATATTTATTTTAGTTACTACAATCTACATAAAGAAACCGTAATCGATATATAATGTGTAAATTAGCAGACCAATTCAAAAGAATACCATCATACACGCATATATATTACATTAAAGGAAAGTAAATCAAGTTTTATCCAGCCCAGTTTTAGCTCATATCACGTACCGCTTGCGACCCAAATCCACTTTCAGCGCCCTCTACTCACAATTTCATTCTAAAAACCCTCTTTTATCTTCTTCTCTAGGTCTCCGGGTGGGTGACAGAGCTGGTGCTATCCCACTCCTCGTTAGAAGACAGGAAGGCAGCCCTCGCGTGCGTCCTCCGAGTGGCCCTCACTTGTTGGAACATCGGGAATTTTAACGGAGCCATGGAGATCGTGGCGGGGTTGAAGTGAGTCGATTTTATTTATTGTTTTGTTTTTTTTTATAGGCTACAGGGTATAGAATTATACGGATTCCATGGTGGTACATAAATCATCAATGCTACCCATAAACTCTTGCCACCAAGAGCGCTGTCAGTCTTTTGAGATGATAGGAGTTTCGGTGACCTCACTCACAAGGCTGCGCACATTACACGATTTGTTGTTGTTACGACTTTCTCATTTTAGCTCTATTGATTCTAAAATTATGTTACTAGAATGACTGGATAATTCATGGAACTTAAATCACCACTGGTATTACCGATTTTTTTTTTATGGGTCAACGTTTGACCACTGTCTCGCCTGGTCCACGTCGTCCCATAAGCAACCTATTCATGCTAGCCCTGAAGACACTCAGGTTATACCCCTTCAGGAAATACAGAATCTGGCAAAGAATGCCACTCCTTAGCCGTACGCACAAGGAAGCTTGATGCGAAGCGCTTCATGCGAGGCGGGTGGGACATCTACCATGAATCGGAGACGCTTCACCGATTGTCTCGCAGTACGATGATGGAAAAGACTACGAACAATCAAGTTGTGCAATTCCCTCGCACTCTCACCGAAATGTATCCGGTGGAAAACTGAAAGGCTTGCAACCTTAATATGCTACTAACTTAATAATATAAATATGAAATAATAAATAAATATAGTTCAAGATCATTTATTTTAATAAAAACTTAAATAAAATAAATACTAACGATTACTAAATTAAATATATGCAACTTAAAATTAAAATTAATTAAAATTAATTAAAATAAAACTAAAAACAACTATTTACATAAAGCATCGAAAAATTCGTCCGCATCGACGTCAGTGGGGAAACTACCCAAACGGCTGGCAGCATTGACACGTTTGATAAATCCCTTGAAATCGAGGGAATAAAATTGGCATCATGTCATGTTTAGGTTTCTAGTCCCAAAAACTTCTACTTCTGCTGAAGAAGAATTAGAAAAGAAGAAAGAAGACTGAGTACAGTCAGTAGGGGTTTCTTTCGGCCTTCAGCTGTTACATAGACTGTAGGCCGGCGGAAACTACTTGCTGACTCTACTTCTAAACATCTTTTGTAGAAGAAAAAATTAGAAGAGAAGAAGAAGAAGAAAAGAGAAGAATTATTTGTTTTGTTCTTTTTTGTGTTTTGGTGTAATTTTGTTTTATTTTAGGGTTGAAATTAATAACTATTCTTTATCTTGAGGTTGAATATAATATTTGATTTCAGTTGTATGGAGAATTTTGTGTAAAATTTCGATCAATTCAGAGATTACGGATAAAATTTGGTTGTTACAATATTAATAATGACCTATTATCATGTAATTATTTATAAAAAACCGAAATAATAAAGATTTCGCTCGACCCGAGAATCGAACCTGAGACCCCTCACTGAAATTATAAAACAATCTGTATATTATAACATTACTCTCTGTTCAATAATACATTCTATTTCAATCCAACATTATTAGGTCAATCCCTAAATCCGGCCGTATAGAGTGGACCTGCCCTAACTGTGGCACAGATCTGTCCGTCTTCATTTGGCGCTGCCTAAGAGAGCCCTTGTTCGGTCAGAGTATCATTTGGGAGTTCTCTAATTTAATCTCACTTGTTGCTCGTTGTTGGTTAAGTTAATATAATCTAAGAAAAAACTGATCTTGAGTTCGATTCCGTAAATTATCTCTATTATTTTTATAGGCTAAGTAAACGAGCAGACGGATTACCTGATGGTAAGCAATCGGCGTCGCCCATGGACATCTGGAACACCAGAGGTAGACAAGAGCGTTACCGTCATTTAATTGTTTCGTCAGGTGTAGCTTATTATACGGACTTTGTGGAATCTATAACAAATTTCCGTGCGTTTAGGCGCTTTTGCCATATCTATTATTGGAAGGAATTAATATAACAGCTCACACATAGGACCCACTTAGTTTTTATTCAAATTACCGTGGTACTAGGCGACTGGGCTTCACCCAGTTGTAGTCTCTTTTTTGTACCTTTAGGCCTAATTCGTCGTCTCCTGCAGTAATTCACCGAAGGAAGTGGAAACTATCGTTTTTATTCTTCTCCTCTTATAATATCTTCTGATTTACTTCGTTGCGGGAACCAAGACAGTTATCCATGTCCCTGGGACGCGCCGGACTTCAGTGTTCTGGTGTTTTCATGGTTGTATCTACTGTAGATCCTGGCTTACAGGAGTTGCAGCGGTTTCGGGAGGTTGTGGCGGGCTTGTCCCATTAAAAAAATATATTTTTTTCAGTCTTTAAATATTGATAAATATGTAGGTATGTGTATTTCTGTGTGTGGATTATGTACCTCTAAGTTAAGGTAACATGAAACTTCATCCAATATGTAGCCTGCCTGTCTAGTTAACATCCTGCTGAAAATTACTTGAAAACCTTTCAGTGTATTTAAACGCAACCTTTTTCGACCGCCCCGGAAAGGGCCTGAAACAAAATTATGAATTCTGTAGGCTTTTCAGGCCGCCTACTTATTTACCTATATTTTTAATGGGAGAACCATGCTTACCAATCAGCCGGCTCGACCGTAGTATTACCACGGCCTAGTAGAAAACCGACGTGAAACAACGCTTGCGTTGTGTTTCGTCGTGTGAGTGAGGTTATTGGAGGCCCATTTACTCCCCCCCCACACCTCAATCTCCCCAATCTCTGAAATACCAACAATCCTCCAATACCTAATCCCTCAAAAGGCTAGTAACGCACTTGTAACGCCTCTGTTCTTGAAGGTGTCCATGGATGGCGTCCATTGCTTACCATCAGGTGATCCGTCTGCTCGGCTTTCCGGCTTATACCACAAAATTTCTTCTTCTTTTTTCTTCTTTCTTTTTAACCACGAAAAACCATGTTGTTTTATAATAACTATTGTGAGGCATACTAAATTAATTAAAACCGCGGGTTACTCACGTGAATATACCGAGAAAAGCTCTCCTAGTTTTGAACCACAGAGGGGTTCTTCCTGATGAGCAGAGCAGCAGGTCGTGGCTATGTTCGTTGGCGCTCGCATCGGTGTTGCTACTTGCGTTGCAAGCCCAACGCGCCCTCTGCCGGACACGACATGCGCGAGTTGCGCGACATCACTGCGACCGCGCACGCTGCTCATGAGGAAGAACCCCTCTGTGGTTCGAAACTAGGAGAGCTTTTCTCAGTATACTCACATGAGTAACCCGCGATTTTAGTTAACGAAAAATCATTACCACATTTTTACTCAATAGTAAACGATTGCAAATTATCATTGTACAACTGCCTATCACCCAGCCACTGCACTCCAAACCCCCTAACCTTTTTGCTGACCAATTTAATCCTTATAAAGCCCTTATATTTAACAACAGAAGCTTTGTCATGCTGGAAATACGACACTGGCTGAAATTGGGGAATAGGGATTTGGGACCATTCATAAAGTTATTAGTTTTACTGTGTGGTTATGGTAGAGAAGGTTATTTGTTAGCACCGCTATTCTGGTCGTGGGTGTAGATGATAGTCATGTTTAAAAGGTAGGCAAAATGTGACTCCTCTGGTGTTGTGGGTAGTGATTGCTTACCATCAGGTGATGCGTTTTTTATAATAACTATCGTGAGGAATTAACTAAAAATTACGAATTATTACATAACATTACATAATGCCTTGTATCCCTGAAGGGGTAGGTACATTACCGCACTTAATGCCACTGTACAATGTAACACCCACTTTTCACTATTTATGTAATGAGGCCCATGTAATAGGGGGTGAGCCTATTGCCATATACCGGACACAATTCCAAGCTCATACTACTACTAAGATTTTTTTTTTAAACCGAGTAATTCTTTGCCTGGCCCGGGAATCGAATTCGAGAACCCTTGCCTGGCAGTCGCACTTCCGACGATTCGGCCAACGAGGCAGTCACTCACGAGTTACGTTATAAGTCACTCACGTAAATACATTGAGAAAAGCTCTACTAGTTTCGAACTACAGAGGGACTCTTTCTCATGAGCAGCGTGCGCGGTCGCGGCGATGTCGCGCAGCCTACACAGCCCAGTAGTATCTGTGTATGTATGTATGTATGTTTGTACGATATTATCTCGCGATTAGCTAAACCGATTTTGATGAAGTTTTCAGAAAAGTGTTAGCCTTAGGAGAAGGGATTTGAAAGTAAATACTTTTTTTAAAATAAATCTCTTAATCTTTCTGCAAAAAGTTGGCTTATTGACTTTCATACTACTATTACGATATATATTAACCGAGAATCGAAGCTAGAAACTTTAACACCCAACATCAACACAACCGCAAAATCACTCAATGCCAAGGGCACTATTAAAAAACCACAATCCACACAAAAAGAAACTTTAGCAACCAACACTTACAGTCGAAATTTGATTAACAACTTTTACCGAGCACAAAAAACGACTTAACTCACTATTTTGTTCAACGAAAATTTTACCTTGTTCTCTTAGAGTTAAGGTTGTAAATGGCTGTTGTAGTTTAATAAGTTTGTTGTGAAAATTTATTAGTTAATATACAGGGTGTCCTTTCTTTATTGTAACCATAAATAAAGATGTAAAACAACATATGAGAGAGTGAATGAAGAAAAGGAGAGTTGTATAGTTTTGTTAGAAAAAAAATCTGTATTATAGAGCTTTTAATCTCTAAAGGGATAGTAGACAAAGATCATTATTAGGTTTTACACCATTTAAGTTCGGACTCCAGTTTCCATACGATCTGAAAACA